TGAAAGATTTGCGTGTCATGGCTATTTCACATCAAATTTTTACATTGAGATTTAGAATTGTACTGTATTTATATTTTGTTTTTACACATTGAAAAAAAATCATGTAGAAAATAAAGACATAGTTGTATGGGATTTATTGATTATATACCAAAAGATTTTGTCACAATTTGTTCAGATAAGGAGGGTCCAATTAACAAATTATCATAGACCATGCCAGGGTTTTTTATTGTTACTTTTATCCTTTTCATATTATGCCTACATTTTAATTCAAGTAGTAATTCAGGGTGATTTTCCATGCAAATTATTTGTGATTTTAAAATAAACTTTTGCATTGCCAACAACAAAAAACTAAATCCTGATCTTTTTTAAATAAATTATGTGAATTGTTTTTCTGTATGACAGATAAATAACTTGAATAGTTAGACAGAGAACCATATGTAGGTTAGTGTAGCCTCCCCACTCTATTATTTCAGTCCAGTTAAGTTTGAATTACTTTAGCTATTGTTATTATTTTTCTGGAGAATCCTTTTGAATTAATCTATTAATCTAATTTAGTAGTTTAATTTTGTTTAAAGCTACATACTTTTCATGTAAGAGAACATATGAATGCTTTTGTCCTTGAATAAATTAACTGAACATCTATTCTGCACAATCCCCACAAACTGCCATCGCCGTACATTAGAGGTTTTCTCAAGCTATGATACACAGTAGCAGATTCATCTGGTGCCTTCACACCAGCCCTAGTGAATTGAAAAATTGGTTTATTTGGAGAGGCTTGAATGAATAATTGAACTTGGTTGTTGATCAAAGAAGCTAATTTTGTTCTACCTAAAACTATAGTTCTCAGCTCACTTCAGTAGAACATATGCAGAATACAACCATGGGTATTGTGGTTAAAAACAACCAAAACCGACGTAGGTGTTTGTTCTGGCTTGCTGAGACAAAAGCTCTGATAGAAATATGGTCAGACAAAAATATGTCACAGCTGCTGGTAACCCACTCACAAGGCCAATGAAGTTACAGTGAAGGTGAAAGGCATCACAAACAAAATGCATATTTACGTGAAATGATTAGAGGATGTGCCAGTTCAGAAGAAATTAATTTCTCATTGATATAAAGAAGTAGTGAATTTTCTTGGCATTCTCAGCAACATCAAAGATGAGAAGCAGAACATGTCATTCAAAATGTCTGGCTTATTTAAGACACTGAATTGTGAAAGGAAAATGTAGATATCCCAAAAGAACTGAATTGTTAATTGGACCAGGAATAAAGACACAATAGGTGTTAAAATAACTTTACCTTGCAACAGGCGCAACACGAGGTCTTTACTCTGTGGGAATATGTGCCAAACAAGTCAAATACACACATCTTAAACTATTGTTATAGCTGACCTGATGACCTATGCCCAAACAATGTTGGATCCAAACATGTCAGCAGAGAAACCACAGATCTACAACAAAAGGTTGAAACAGTTAAAACAAACAAGAAAAAGAATGTTCTTGATGGGTAAAGTCAAACTGAAGGTTATTCTCTCTGAGAGACCGTGTTTAGTATGACAACATCAAAGAAGGGAAATACACGACTTTGTGTCTCTGAGCAGCTCTGGTAGACGTGATTTCTTATCTAAAATTTCTCTCATCTCGGTTTTATCAGCTGCTGTAGGACAAAGAAAGGACAGCAGCACAGCATAAAAAAGTTGGATTAAAAGAAGTCTTAGATCTAGTTTTAAAAATAAAAACAATATTTTTATTCACGTAAAAAAAAAACATGGCAGAAACACAATGAGCACAGTTCCAATCATGCTGATGCTGACCACAATTGCCATGCCAACAAACAAACCCCGTACCATGTGCAGCTTACCACTATTTGAAGCCCCACGAGGAATGTCTGAATTCATCAGCTCAGAGTACACGAGTCCAATTACAAGAGGGATGAGGGCTGCAGCAAGAGCAGCAAAGCCAATTATTAAAATTGTCGAGCCAATGTCCATAGTGTAGCTGGTCTGCTAGGCTGAAGGTAAGTCATTAGGAGAAAATGTTTTATCTACCTGCTTTGAGTCTCTTTTCTCCTTCCCACATCTGCATACAATATATTCTGACCTTTGTTTCAAAACTGAAAATCTTTAGCTGCCTGATGCACAGCAAAAATTATTTGATCCTTCAATATATGTCATGGCTGTGTAATAAAACTACATATGGGTTGTTCAAATAAATCCCTTATATTTAAAGTTGAATATTGCACAGAAACATTTCAGTTCTGTCTTGTTTAAGAAAACCGGGTATAGTTGAGTTCCAGCGGAAAAATTTTCAGACATATCCAGAAAAGTTTTAGCCTGTTTTTTTTTTAATCCTCTTGATGCCACGACAAACCCATTTATTTCAAACTGCTTTTGCCGCAGGGCGCCTTCTTACTCTGTGTATTTGGAAGAAAACATTCTGAGGCTTCCCCAAGAAGGCTGTCTGGAAACGCTTATATCTGAACTTTCACTGCTAATCTGTAGATGGCAGTGATAGCTTGGGTATAAATGTGCAGCAACTACTGAGATAACTCATATACTCATCTTTTGCAATATGTCTAAAAAAAAAAACACATACTGTGGTATGAACAGAATTATGTCATGTAATGTCCTGTAATTGAAATTGGATCATTTGAAAACATACGACTTTAGACGAGAATATTTAATAAAGCAATTACATTTCTGAACATTTCAGAAATTTCCAAAGTAAGGACAGCATCTGGACATGGGTTGTTCCAGAGTTTGCAGCAAAGCCCTCAGAGTCCCTCTGCTTCCCTTAAGTAGTTCAGTCTAACACAAAGCAACCATTGTGAGGTTGCTCTTTAAAACCAGTTGCTGAAAAAGCCTTCAGTGACTCCTGGTAAAAATCACAGTGTCAAGGCCAAACATCACAGACTGGAATTTTGTCTGAGGTCCATTAATTCATATGGATTTTTATAAGCTATGCATAGGTTTTTTTAAAAAAGTAAGACCGACAGCTCTGTAAGAGTGAGTGTGACCTATATACTAAATTTCACACTTATCAGAAAGGAGTAACCAACTTCAAAAATACTGGTGCAACAAATTAGGCTTACACAGCAAGCTAGCACTATGGTTGCATAAGCAGGTAGCTATATATAGAGAAAAAAATGTCTGCATTTGTTAATAAAAATTTGAAGTGTGGTGTGTAGATTGGTCTCAAAAATATTCCTCCCCATTGCAGTATTTTTTTCCCGATGTTTCAAATGAGTTGAATATTGAACAATGTAACCTTGAGTAAATACAGTATAATTTTTCAAATGATAATTTTATGTATTAGGGAACAAAACTGTCCAAACTAACCTAATATGTGCAAATACATTAATAACCCAATCTAAATAAAATCAAGAGCAATTAAGAAGCAAATTCACTGACATTTATCCATTTGGAAAATGTTACAAGACATTTCTGATTATTTGAGGCTCAAGTGAACCATCAAATTGGCCACAAATGGAGAAAGCATGGAACAGTGGTGAACCTTCCTGGCAGTGGCTGGTACACTAATTTACTCCAATAACACATCAACAGCTCACCCAGGGCAGCCACAAAAATGTACAAGACTTTAAAAACAAGATTTCTAGATTGTGAAACTTTAGTCCGTTTTTCTTTGCAACAACTAATTGTAAAGGCATCTGTGAACAGCTATTTTCATGTCTATGTAAGCCATTTTATAATTTGGATGTAGGTCTGGACTTTAATTAGTTCATTCTCACTCAAATAGGCATTCATCTAAACCACTTCAGTAAGATTCTGGCATGTTCTTGCTAGAGGGTGAATCGACACGTCAGTGTTAGTCTTTTGTAGTCTCTCAGGTTTTCTTGCAGGGCTGTCCTGTATTTAGCTCCTCCATACTCTGGGGAAGAAACTCTTCCCCAGAGTATGGTACTGCTATCACCATGTGTCACCACAAGGATGTTGTGGTCAGAGTCATGTGCAATGTTACAAATAGGATTCTGCACATGTGCAGATGTCTTAGATTGTCTTCTTTTGGCTTTCTGGTGGCCACTTGTCCATGAATGTCAGATTAGTGGAGTTAATGACAAATAGCTGAATTTTCACAGATTCCATGGGATCATTTCTTACTTCTCAAATTGTTATCCACTTCTGCCTCTCAGTTGGTAAGCCATATCTTTTTTAGGTTAGCAGTTGTGACAATATACTCCTTCTATTTTTAGATGATGGAATGAACAAGTACTCTGTCAGATGTTCAAAGCCTGGGTAGTAGTTTTAAAACCTAGCTCTGATTTACATCTGTTCACGATACAATGCTTGATCTTTGCTTATGTTCTCTGTCTATTTTTCTTTTTTTCTGGCCATCAAAGAACATATGTAATTATACTGAGATCAAGTATCACGCAAGAGGGTTTTAATCACTCATTAGCAGACTTCTGGAGGGAGATTGTGGCACAGGAATTCGTCAAAGGATTCCAAATCAAAAACGGGATGGGGAAATGGGGTTTTATTTATTGTTATTTATTTATTTATTTATTTATTTTTAAACAAGTATTTTCCCTCCACTTCACAGATTCACAGATTTACATAAGGGAGCCGTAAAAAAAAAAGCCCTCACTGCTTTCTCATGGCTATGGTTGTTTGCACGTCACTGATCCACTATTTGCTCGCTTAATTGTTAAGCGTAATTAATTGTGGGCAGTTGGTTGATTTATGGTGTAATTGCCCAGCTACTTTTCGGACATTGTCTAAAACTCCCTCAAACCTTTTCACCCAGCAAATCCTAAGTGATTTTTGTATTGTCTTACTGCTGTTGAGCGATTGCAACACTACTGTTATTCTGTTACTTATGCAATGAGGTTAAATTCAGGTCAACGGGATTACGAAGTTAAATTTTCCCAAAGCAGTCTGAGCACCCACCTGGGACGCGCAGGGGGTTACCGCTGGAGGGGGGAGCTGGACCACAGATTGAGAACCAGCGCTGCTGCAGACACATAAAGGGGGTGGGGAAGATGCCAGTACGCAACCAGTCAGGGCAGACGGGCACTGGAGCAAAATATTCATCCACACTTAACATGTCAATCAGGATTAATACCCCTACAATCCGCCCCTCTAGGTTCACCAGGACTTTCCACAAGTGAAAATAGCTCAAAGTCTAGGAAGAGGGGGTAATATATAAAGCAGGACAGGACAGGAACACAACACCAAAGACCGCGGCGGTTTCAGTAGCGCACAACAACACACTGCGTCGCTTGGATTTGTCTTTCACGCTTCTGCGTCTCACTCGGTGGCTGACAAGCAAAGATGAGTGATTACTCAGACTTTTCAAGAGCCTGATGCCCTTCGAGGATGTCAAAGCGCTCAAAACAAACGCACTTCTGCGTTTCATTATTTAACATCCCGCGTCCGATTTGCTCATGAAAAACTTTCTGAGGCTGTAGATAAAAAAAAATATATATATATAGACATATATATTTGCAGATATCTCCCGCGGCGCACTGTTAGGAGGACATCAGAGCTAGTCAGCGCATTACTTGTCTGCTGTCTGTGGCCACTTTCCGAGATGGAGCTGAAAAGCGCATTTCGTATGCTTTTCTTCCCGATCCAAATGTTCTATCACATAGTCCGGGCAAGTTTGTTGTCGCTGTTGCCAAGCAGCAAGAAGGACTTAAGTAAGGAGGTGGTATTGATCACTGGTGGAGGTCGAGGGATTGGACGTCACCTGGCCAAGGAGTTCGCCAAGCAAGGAGCCAAAAAGGTAAAGTAATTAGACAACATAATGCGTACATTTTGTCATACTGTTTTTTTTTATTTTTAATTATTATCATTATTTTTGCAAGGTGGAGTTGGGGAATGGCTTGTGCGCAAAAGTTCTGCATAACTCCGTGAGCTATTCACAGCCATGACAAATCAGTGACCTATTATACTTTTATTTTTTTCTATTTGTGAAATTTAATCTGCTGGAAAATCGACCAGCATATCCACAGTACAAGTTCATTCTGTTTTGAAAGCCACAATAGAGTTGTTTTCATGCATTGCATTGGGAAGTGGGATGTCTTATAGAGTAAATGCAAACTAAGATGAACCTTACAGAGGGAAAAATGCATTATTGAAGCAGTTCCTGCAGATTAGAAAATGGCTTTGTAAGCATTTCTAATTTTTCTCTTGTGAGTAAATACTTCGTACAAGCCTGGAACACGGGGAGACCATGAGAGATGCTTTAGAACAGTCCAATTTCAAAGTACAGTAATTTCCTATCCCGAGAGAGGAGGTCAACTTTGTCAGGGTCATGTTTATTATAAATTTATGTTTTTCAGTAGTAATGAAGCCCATTTTTGCCATCTCAACCAAAAACTCCTATCCTCTGTCAGTCTTAACCAAGAGCTTCTGCTTGGATCTGAAATGCTTTGCTGACTGCTTTATGCTAAGGATAACAATCCACCAGTGGTTTGTCTACTAATCTTGAAGATGAACATTGCACAGCCAAGTGCTTGAAAATTACTGTTGTCTCTTTAATACGGTTGTGTTAATGGAGGAGCTCTTTTTGATCACCTTGTATGGTCGCCTTCATTACACATGGGTTAAAAATGTTGTAATTTCAACCCACATTGAGCAGACCAATTGAAAGTTGATGACTGTAATCATCTGTATATGTGTGACACAGGCACTGCAGCTCAAATGATCTTTTGAAACACAATTTTGCCAGCTTGAAAACATTGCTGAAAGTTCGCTGAAACATTAACTGTTTTCCTGCTTCTTTTGATGCCACATCCTAGGGGAATGAGCAAGAAGAAACCAGTTGATTTAAAAAGCATTACTTTGCAGCTGCACAACAAAGGATGTCACTATGCTTTTCAGCACCTCATTGTTGACTGTTATCAAGGTGTGAGGGCTTTGAAAGCAACACCTTTGGTAATGCCTGTAACAATTGCTCTGTGGATAAAGAGATGCTAGAAGGAAATAGGTGGGCAATTATGGATATGGCTGACCTATGTGAACTTTGCATTCACCCCAGTTTCACCCCCATTGTGACTGGAAGTCAAAATTCCCTGATTTGCTTTTGCTCAGATATTTGTTTGATGTAGGCTAAGATGACTATAACTAAGAATTTACCAAGATGAAGAGGGGTAAATTCAACTGTGAACAAGTTGACATATGTCGCATGTTTTGCAAAGGGAAACTCGTGTTTGCAAAGAAAGTATGTAGTCAAAGTTTCAAGAAAGTCAAAGCACAGACAAATTTAAAAAGTACATTTCTTCAAATATCCTTTTTGAAACCAACGTTACAAAGAAAAGTAGTTGTCAACAACACAAGTAAACCTTCACGTGGAAGGTGAACCAAAGCAATACACAGACAACAGGTCTGTGTGGTTGTGCTTGTGTTGTGCTTGAGGCGGGAAGCACACCACTCCCAGCTGGGTATTGCCCTGCAACTGACCTTGCTGTCTCTGCAGTAATTAGACAGCGGCAGGCGACTGCCTCCTGAACTCCTGCTGCCCCCTCTGTGTGCCGCCTCTCTGCTGGCTCATACAATGGGTGTGAAAAGGAGGGTTCATACCCACCCATACATTGAGACTTGGGAGATAAAGTATCATTGTAATTCAGCTGAAGCAACTCAGTACACAGAGAGTTGTGCCTCAGTCTGTATCGAGTGACATGCTCTATCTCTGTCAAGAATTTATTTCAAGCTCTACCACATTAATTTGTTGATTAGAGGGCTTTTACTTGATTCGTGTGTTGACATTATGTCTTGTTAGGCATGCCTTGTTGGAGAAATCAACACTTTATCACCAAAGAACACTGCCTTTGCAAGAACAATTAAAAACAGTTTTCTATCCGGATAACAATTTGGCCAATGTGTGCTTGCTCTGATTGTCCTGTGTGCTTTGATGGGTGATAAACTGATAAATTAAATAATGTTTTAACAGGAGAACACGGCTTTAAGTGCAGAGTTTTAATGAGAACTGTCAACTTTATTTGTCTTGCTCAAATCCTATTAAGAGCTTTAAATTATTTATCAAGACCTGTCTTCCTTCAGTGATTACTTAAATGGCCTTGCAAATGAAGCAAACAAACAAAACCCCAATCAAACGAGAGCTGTTTTCAGAAGGAGGCAAACTCCTGATTGCCAACAGTTCTGATAAGGAATTGAAGAGAACATTGAAGATCTGTGGTGCCCCAAAACTATATTGCTTAAATATTTGTTTATGATAATCTACCATGTTCATCATTAACCAGAACACTACCAAAGAGAATCATAATGTGAAAAGACTGGATCTGAAGATCTTCCATTGTTTTCTGACAACACTATATTTGGTTCCGTTCCAGTTGAATTTATTTATTCAGCACTAATTCACAACAAATGCCATCTCAGGGTACTTTACAAGGCATTTAAATCCCATATACATATAGAACTATATGATCAGTTATCCAATCATATGGAATTATTAAAACTTAATTACATACTTTCCAGTTCAATCATAGTTATAATGCAAATCTTTCCATTTCAAATACAATGCCAGTTGGCACAACGATAACTAAGACACCTTAATTGATTGTATAGAGTCACTGACTTTGATTCGCCTCTACAAATAGTAGACCTCCAAATTGTGCAGTCATATATTTAGAACACCGACGCTGTAAAAAAAAAATCCAGTTTCTGCACAATTGTCAGATATAACTTCTGTAATGACATATTTCAGAGTAATATCTCAAAGTCAATGTAAATTCCTGCATACCAACTGACTAAGTGGGTGTTTACAAATAAACATTGGCAAAATAATATGAGATTCCAGGCTGAACATTGGGCCAAGAAGCAGCCTTGCTGTCCACACGCTTCCTGACTTAAATATGCAAGATCACTTTACTGTGGATATTTTTGCCCAGTGCTATCCTCACAGTCATGGGCAACCAGCCAAAGCCTGCACTGACATCCTCAGCTCTTCACACACACATTGTCTTCGGACTCCCTTACCAGCAATGACAAGGCTCATCTGCCCAACAAGCTGTGTAATCTCTTTGAGAATTTGTATTTGAGAGATGAGGATGGCTGACCCCGTGATTTCATTACCTTTCCCTGACCCCAAAGACTGACAGATCTAATTGCCCAATCACTGAGTCCCCCCTCCTTCCCATCCCCATCCAGCCCCAAGTTCCCTGCTCAAATGACCAGCGTTCATTTAGTGTACGGGTGGATGAAGAGACAGTTCATTCACAGCAACCTCGAAGCCTTTAATCTTTTACGAAGACTATTTGTTTGAGTAAAAATGGCCTCTTTGTTCTGTCAATGAAAAGAGCAACATGTCTTATTGCCAAAAAGTTGCATAAAAGATGCCATGTTCAGTCAAAGACTGACTATAGCAAATAAAGAATAAGTAAATCCCTTTTCTACCCTCTCACATAATATACAGTACACATAAGAGTGCACTTAATTAGTTTGTGTTGTGCTCAGTTTCTTTGCAGAACCTCTCTTTATTTGTCTCTAACCTTTAAAAATCTTGTTGCTTATCAGGTGATCCTTTGGGGCAGAACAGAGAAGTGTTTAAAAGAGACAGTTGAAGAAATCTCCCTCTCTGGATCAGAATGCTGTTACTTTGTATGTGATGTGGCCAATCGGGACGAAGTGTACAAACAAGCCAAGGTGGTGAGAGAAAAGGTAAACTGTCCTAGGTGTTGTGAAGCTACAAGCAGAGGCAATTCCATCTACCTTTAAAACATCTTCTTGCTTTCCATTTTAATGTCCGCAGTATCTTGTGCTTTTTTTTTGTCCAAGGTTGGAGATGTTACGATATTAGTGAACAATGCAGCTGTCGTGCATGGTAAAAGTCTGATGGACAGCGATGACGATGCTCTTCTAAAAACTCAACATATCAACACCTTGGGACAGTTCTGGGTAAGCATTTCACAAGTCGAAGCAGAGACTGTTTGCCTGCAGAATTAGGGGAATTCCTTCTGGTGGATTATCCTTACTTTTATGTTTTGATTATAGTATGAAAGTGTATGCAGAAGGCACCCCAGACATGTCAGTCAATACTGCTGTTATGGCAGGTTAAGTGAAGAATTTCCAAATTGCCTCTCAGTCTCTGACACATCGGAGGGGTTTAGAAACTCTCGACATTTTTTTCTGTATTAAGATCAAAGGACCTTGTCATAAGGAGACATAAATGGAATTATCAGCTAAATGTAATGGGAAATATAATATGTAATGACACTGCAGACAGTTTCTCATGTTGGTTCTGTTCTTCATTCCCCTTCCTGCATTTGTCTTCTTTCCTTCTTTCTCTCTTTTCATGTTAATGCTTTAGACAACAAAAGCTTTCCTGCCTCGAATGCTGGAACTACAACACGGCCACGTAGTGTGCATTAACTCCATCCTGTCCCAGTCCCCAATCCCTGGGGCCATAGACTATTGCACCTCTAAAGCCTCATCACTGGCCTTCATGGAGAGCTTGACACTTGGCCTATTGGACTGTCCTGGTGTCGGCTGCACCACTGTGCTTCCTTTCCACACCAATACAGAGATGTTTCGGGGTATGAGAGTCAGGTTGGTAGACACTCGAAGCTCTGAATCTATATAACTAGATAAAAAACATAATTTATTTAATAAGATTGCTCCATTTATCTCCAAATCTTAAATGTATTCTTTTTTAGGTTTCCTCAGCTCTTTCCACCACTTAAACCTGAAGTAGTTGCCCAGAAGACTGTTGATGCTGTCAGAACCGACAAGGTCTTCCTTTACTTGCCCTGGACAATGCACGCCCTTGTTATACTTAAAAGGTAAAACAAATTCTCTTTTCATATTTTCTGTCCCTTCCATTTGATCTGGGCTTTTTAAAAACATTTTCACCTTAAGTCATGCCTTTTATTGAACACTTTGTCCCTCGTCTCTCCAAACTCTCCAGCTTCATGCCGCAAGTTGCCCTTGAGGAAATCCATAGGTTCTCTGGGAGTTATACCTGCATGAATACATTCAAAGGAAGGACATAAATCTGGATTGTACACATCTCGAGAGACTTTTGTGTTGAAATAAAGGGAATATGGACCTTAAAGCAATCAAAGGTGGAGGATTTCTTTTGAAATCGAAGATGAACACTTAAGGAACATAAAAAGTTGCTGCTTCTGCATGTAGAAGTAAGCGGTAAACTACATGAAGCACCTCCCTGTGTGTACATGTATAAAGCAGAATCCATGCATCTGTACAAGCTGTTATTCTGGGAAGGTTTTTGTGACACATTTACTATTTTTACAATTTTTAAATCCTTTTTAATGGGTGTTAAGGAAAACAAAGTAATAAAACTGAGTTTTAGAAATAAGATGTCTTTTATGTTTAAAATGAAAACACCAAGTATCCACACAGTATTATGTGACTGGGTTGTGATTCTCAAAGTGTGATAGGAGTTGAATTTATTCTGAGCACAAGGCAGTGTCAAAGATGTCAAAAACATAACACATTCTCTTGGGAGCTGCATGAGGCGTTTGTTTGGTCTCAGCTTTCAGAAAACACTGTAGGTATGCAAGGTAATGTAATTCTCAATGAAAAATAATGAACCCAAATCAGATCAGTTTGGCCCTCCACATGTGGGTAAAATGGTTTTGCACAAAATTCAATTAATATGGACAGGCAGTGAGACCGCTGAAGTTATTGCTCCCAGCAGTTATCATGAGGCTTTTATTATTCAACAAAAAGAAATTTTATTTATTTAAGGGGAAGATGATAATATATCAAATTCGATTTAACCAGTTTGACTCGTACCCAGACAATGTTAAGATGTCTGGAAAAATGGTACATTTGTGTTTGCAGATCAAACAAACCCCCAGAGGCAGATATAATAGAAGAATGGAACAATGTGGGTTCTCTTTAGCATACAAATCTGAGCACATTCAAATACTGTAATTCAAAACACGTGGAAAGAAGAATAACACAATAGATAAGATTTGACTAAATTCACAATTACCTTTTTAATCAATGTGTCTTTTTTTCACCCTGAAGAATAAAATTCGGAGTTGAGCTTGGAAGATCAATCAACACCTTTTAGTCTTAAGAAAGTTAAACAGATCCTGCATGTTCTATAAATCCGCAAGGATCTTGGAATTAAACATTGCATTGACTCACAAGTGCCTTAAACCACGTTTGAGTAAATGACCATTGATTTTATCTAAAGAGGCTGTGAAATACGGAGCCGGTAAACAAGTTAACTCCAGCCTGGTAGATGAATACTTTGACATTTTGGTAAACGTGCTGATTAACTTCCATGCCTAAGGTTATAAGTGAATATCAATACTGCTCTCATGTTTCTCCCATAACTGAGAAGCTAATTAGCTCACTGTAGCATTGTGGAGGCGGGGGGGGGGTCTGTGCTAACCTGGCTTTTTCCAGAGGGAAATAATCTGCCTACTGAAAGTGATATTGATTACTTTATCTAAATCTTAGCAAGATAGTGTGAGAAGCCCACTGTATCTTCCTACTTTCTTAATTAATTTGCATTGAGGGCAAAATACCATCTCAAGCACTTCACTGTGTTCTGCCAGACAGGCTTAGGGGAAGGCTCAGAGATAATAAGTTGTATTTATTTTCTGTTCTCTCAACATTTCATGTCACTCATTTTAGTCAGCTTTGCATTTACTGCAAACTAAATTTTAAGTGTGGCAGCATAAAAGTAGCTATCACCATTTGTTTTTGATTTGTTTACACTGAAGGTATTTTCATAGTCGATGTAAAATGGAGTCAAGTTTCCTGTCTTTAGTTACACCAACACCCAAATGGGAAAGCTATTTAAATTAATGAGCATCATTACGTTTTATGCTTTCCATTCTCTTTTACATCAGAACTAAAACAAAGTAAATCTGACTTTGTTAATATTTGATGAGATGATTATAAGATATTCTTTACTAAGGTTTATCACAGAGAAAACAAGCTGTATTAAGAGTAAGCTGCACCTTTTTTAATTAATTTTGTTGAGCTCAGTTTTTTTTTAAACTGAAAGACTTTTCCTGCCATCTTCATAACTTATTCTTAAATAAAACACAAACTACCAAAAACTAAACACCATATGACAATAAATCTACTAGATGTTATGTAAATTACATATATGCATCATATCTCTAAGAACTACTGGCATGAGTTTTGTTATAACAAAGTTCGTTACCAAACATATTTATAGACTTTTCACATTTTGCTGCATTGCAACCAGAAACTACAGTATATTTTTGGGGAATTATGTGATGAGCCGACACAAAATAATGCATAATTCTGTAGCAATTATGCACTATTTTGAAATGTTGGGCAAAGTATTAAGCTTCCTTGCATCAATAGGTTTTACATCCTCTGTTTGCCATTTACAGGCGGAAGTCTTTTCAGATATGTTTCTACTTGCTTTGCCCAGGTATAGAGAGACACTTTTTCCATTCGTCTTTGAAAAACAACTCAAGCTTAGTCAAATTGGATGCAATCGTGAAATTTAGTTTGTTTTCCTTCATATTACCAATCAAATTGGTAATATCTGGACTTTGACCAGACCATTATAACATTTTAAATCGCTTCAGTCTAACCATTCCATTGTCACCCTGGAAACATGATTAAAGTCATCCTCTTGGAATGTGAAGCTCTGTCCCAACCCTAAGCCTTTTGCAACCTTTGACAGGTTTTCTTTTTAGATTGTCCTGTGCTTTTCTCCCTCCTTCTTCATATCAACTCTGATCAGATTCTCTGTGCCACTGAAAGGAAGCATCTCCACAGCATGTCACTGTCACCATGTTTCATGGTGTTTGTACTTTGTCCCACACTGGGACTTACATTTAGGGCAAGATGCTTTATGCTGATGTCATTTTTCTGCTAAATGACTTGTGGTTTGTGGCAAACTGAAGATGGAACTTCTTCTGGATTTTCAACAATTGAGCAATCTTACCTCTCATGAGTCCAGATTGAGTGTATGACTACTCATCCTGTCAGTAGGTTCCTCTACAGGAGCTACGGATGCTAACCATTTGCAGTTCAAGTGGTTAGCATTACTTGGCTGGTTTGGAGCTTTTGTATTTTCGGATACTGGATTAAAGATTGCTTTGTTTACATGATTAAAACTTGAGATATTTATTTGATAACCTAATGCTGCTTTAAACTCATCCTTAACTCTATCCATATCCTGTTTAGTGTGTTCCTTTGGTCTTCATGATGCTGTTTGTTCATTAATATCCTCAACTAACCTCCAAGGCCAGCACAGCTGTACTTGTACTGATATTGAATCACACAAAGATTTATCTGTTGACTAACTAGTTGACGTCTGCAAGTAATGCATTGCCCAGGATTTGTATTCATAAAAAAATATGGAATGATGTCACTTTCCTTCATCTTCAAAGTTTTGCATTTACAATTTTCTTGGTCTGTTTAAAGACCCAACAAAAACATATGTAAGCTCGAGGTTGTAATGTGACAAAATGTGAAAAATAAATAAATAAATAAATAAATAAATAAATAAATAATTCTAAAAAGTACTGCAATTATATCAACAATAGATGGAATTAAAATACTAAAATGTTGCTTAGGTTATCATAAAGATTGCAAGGAAGTTTTCTTTTCACTAATTAGTATGTTCAGATTTTTGTTCTTCTTTGACTGACATTCAGGAAAAATTGACCGGAGCACAGCTTAGGGCTAATTCATCAAACATGCCTACTCTAGGCAGCGTGGTTAACCATGAAGCAAATAGTCTGTAAATAAAATAGTTGATACACACATGTGGTATAAAAAAAACTGCAGATTCATGTATTCTGACATAGCAGAATTTTTTGGTTCTCTGAAATAAACACAGACAGAGCACACTCTTCAAAACAATTCTCCAACTTCTAGTGCAAGAGAAATGAAAGGGAATGGTGGCCACAACTTCAATCACAAGAAGAAACACCCCATGTCTGAACTCAAGTCAGAGTGGTTTTAAACACTGGGAGAGTGCTTGGCCTTTGGCTGCCAGACAAGGCTCATAAACAGTCATTTGAATCCCGGCGAACCATAGATGCCCTCCTGTGTGCTCACGATAGGGCCGCTCATAGTGATCAGTAAGTGACCCACACGAGCTTAGATGGAAAGGGAAGAGGGGAAAGAAGGCACTGCTGAGAATGAATCCGAGCCTCCTTCTAGGGGCCTGTTTCTCATTCTCTCCATGGGCTGTTGCGAAAGCAGTGGGAGAAGCAGCGTGTTGGGATGGAACTAGGTCGAGGAGGCATGTTGTGCACGTATGCTGGAAAAGGAGGGCTAAAATGGCTGGAAATCTCCCGGGACAGGTTCAGTGCAGGGTTAGCCAAAAAGCAGAATAAATCAAAGTGGGGCTTGGAAAGTCTTTTCCCTTTTTGAGCGCTGTCAGCTCAAGGGTTACTGACCAAGTGCAGGTGGAAGCAGTGAGTTTTAGGATGGATCACAAGAGAAGACATATGTGACTCTAGCTGTCCCAGCTGTGACTACATTCCCAGGTGTCTGTTAATTTTCATTGTGGAGTTGTACTCTAGGTGACCTGTATAGGATACATGCTGCCTCTCACCCTGTGATAACTGAGACACACAACCAGCCCCCTGTCCCCCACTTCCCTGAGGAGGATTAAGTGAATTGTAGACTGATGGATGGGTGACATACTCTAGACTTAGAAGATTTTGGACACATTTGTTTTCTCTTTGAGTGGCAGGATTGAAAAGCTGTAAAGTTAACTTCATGCTCAATTTCAATACTGATTTGAAATAACGTAGCCCTCAAAGTTTATAAGTAATTATTTTCCCATCCTGAACATTTACTATTAAATTCCATAGACTTCTCCTCTTCTGTACTTTAAAGCAACACAGTTTTTTTTTTCTTCTATATGCAGGTCAAGCATGTAAAATCCCAATGCTGGGGCTTAGAGAGTCAGTCTTCAACGATCCATTAAATGTACTTTAGAATCCCAGATCTGCAGACCATTTGAGTTGCTCTGCAGTGATGCTGAACGCATGTGAAACCTCAGCTAGTCCCAGATTCTGTCATTATTCGCATCACATATACTTGCAGATTCAGTGACATTGGTTTTCTTTGGAGACATTTCTCTGTGACTTTGAAGCTATGGCTCTGCTATATGCAATAAATCTACTTCATTACAGTTTTTCTTTTTTTTCCTATTGCTAAAATATAGGAAATGTTCATTCTTTTTCAAATTCTGCACAATATGTGTCACATTTGCAGTAAGATTCCTGAGAAAAATCCTTCCGCTTTGCTCTAACACACTCAAGACAAGAGCTATCAGATATGTGAGCAGCAGACTATTATCTGCAATAAACCCCATAAGGTCTGTGTGCTTTGTGAACACAACCTTAAGTGGATACCTAAATGAGAATGTAGCAAGGGGCAACAAGGAGGTAGCAGAGTTCAGTGAAGTAATATTTGTTACAAGACCTTTTCCACTTTCTCTGAACAATGCCTTGGTCCTCTCTCCAGTTTGCTGTTGGGGTTCATCCATCACTGAGTAGGTACTGTGATAAAAAGCCTCAGCCCTAACCCACAGCAAGGAGCCAGGCGTGACGCCTCAGTTGACCTGTCAAACTGTAAGAGTTATTATACACAGTAGTGTTAAAGGTTAAAGGGAGCAGCAAACTCGGAGGGTGTCAGTCCTCCAAAACACATCCAGGGACTCCATATGAATACACAAAATAGGCTGCAACCCTCGAATGAATGATTAGTTGTGTGAAGTAGTTTGTTTAGATGGTCTTTTTGAGCTTCTGATGTATTGTTGGAAGATCTCTGTGCACAGTAGCTGTTTTCAGGGTACACTCTTAAAGATAGCTGCTTATAGCAAATAAACAACAACAAAAAGACTAGTAAAGAATATTGTTCCAGGTAATAACTGCAACAATTTCAAATTACCTCAAGAAATGTCAGTGCAAGTGATGTTTTAAAGAATGGAGCTTTTTAAAGCTAGATATAAATCTGAGGCACAATTCCAAGCCATAATGTTCTATGTTTCTATATAAACTGTGCTCTGCTAGACATTGAAAGCTACAGAACCCTGCCTTAAACATCTCCACAACTTTATCTATGACCTGCCGGGGGTGTTCATTGGTCTTAATTTGTTCACTGATAACAAACCTCTGAGGCCTTCACAGAACAAATGACTTTATGCTGAGATTAAATTACCTATGGATGGATTCTCCTAGCTAAAATAATTAATTTTAAAGGGAATTGGTTTCACTGCATTGTATTTAGATGCATTAGATTAACTAGGGCTGAATTCCAAAGTTATCTGTTATGTGTTTGTCTATAACTTAAAATGCCAATAAAATAAAATCACATTGTGGTCTCCACAAATGTGGGCTCTGGAGCTCAGACTTTTATGAAACCTTGTTCTTTAAACAAAATAGTTCACTGACAATAATATCAGCTTCTCTTTTCACATTGCAAGTTACCTTAACTCCTGGGGTTAAAATATCTATTATATATACCAGTCAATAAATTGTCACAATGAACACCTGCTTAATGCTGTGAAAATTTGTTGGAAATTTAAATCACACTGATACAAAAATAAATTACAGATACAGTATTTAGTGCTGTTGTGAAATAGCAAAGGGAAGAAGCAAAACAAATGGCCCAACAGGAGGTTTCAACCTCTTACAATATACTTTTTCTAAGACAATTTGTCATTTTAAAAGTGAATGTTCTATAGATATTGTTATGCGATATTCCACAAATCTCGAAAGCAGAGTGAAAAAAAAAAAAAGCAGAGACGGAGCATTTTAATTTGCTTGTCTTCCTGGGTGCCTATAGAACATAAAAATATGCCCGGGGGACATGACTCTCTACTGTGAAACCACGAGTCTCTGTTTCACATGTGGTTTCCAGTGTTCTGCTTTTGAACACTGACAGTTAACAGGGAGAAAGTGGGAGGTAAGAGCTGAGGGACAAACAAAGCAAAGTAAGGCCTCCTTTTCACTGCGAGCAGAAGGCAAACACTCAAAGGGGAAGGGTGTGGGAGGGTGAAACACAGTTCACTTTGCACGGACGGGCTCAAGATATTTATAAAGCCCACCAGGCATCACGTCAGGAGAGCTCTTCTGAAAAATGTTGTTCCCAGATGCACCACTTCAACCAGACTTATTTATTACAGTCCACCTTCTTCACCGATTACACAACATTCACATGTGCAAACTTTTTGGTCTGATGTCTTACCAGCAGGCCTCTTTACTCAAGGTGAATCAGATGTGGGTCAGATAGAGGGCACTAGTCTCTTATCTCTCTAAACTGAACATCAGAGCAGATCTGAAAAGCTTAGACAACCATTTTCCTACAGCTCTGATATTGTCAATACCCATGGAGTCATGAGGGTTAAAGACTCCAAGAAAGTTTCACTGGTTTGATATGAAGAACATTCTCATTGCTTAAATGTAAATGTTGAGGAACTTTTTTTTTTTTTTTTTTACTTGCTGAGCTAAGAACCTCTCAGTCCCTTACATAGCAATATTACACAAAGACCTTCCTTAGCCTGCATACAAGTCATGTGATCAGCGCTTGCGGTCTCTGTGAACTACACCTGAACTCAGCTAAATGGAAACAGACCAAACACACAGTGTGCGTCAGGATGAAAGCATCCCTCTGGAG